GTGAGATTGCCCGGCCTGAAAGTGCGTCCCAGTCCGGCCCTGCTGCACACTGGTGGTGGTTGAGGAGATTCCCCCCTTCTGTGTAAAGCGCTTTGAGTGCCCAGAAAAGCGCTATATAAATGTAAGGAATTATAATTATTATTGTTCTCTTTTTTAGCCATTATTTTTTTCCTAACCATGTAAAAACTGAAAAAAAAGTACCCTTTTATGGCAATAAACTTCACACTAAACTTTATAAACTTTACAATTACATTGATTACAATATAAATTGTTTAAGTGGAAATAGGTGGGTATACAATAGAATGTTGAGAATTATAACAGATGAACATGATAATTCATTGCTCATGCATATTTAGCAGTTTGAGTACCAATTTATACAGTATGTTCCAAATCCTGACACAAAATGTTAGGCTATTTTCAGCCTACAAGTACTATCTGATTGGCACATTGTTTGCTTTTTCATCCATAAAGTTAAAAGTTGTGGAGATGATTAACATCCCTGAAGAAACAAAAAAGGAGGTTCCAGACATGCTCCATTTACAGTGCATTAAATATATAAAGAAATGATAAATAGCAATGTTTTATATACTTTATTTAATCAATTGTTTATTTAACATTATTGACAAGGGAAGGTCTAAGAAATAAAAACAAATAATAGTTAGAATCTGAGTAATGTGTTATTTATGAAAATATTTGGGTCAGCAATATTGTGATTGGCCCAAATGTCATATCGCTTCGACAAGATTGGCTGTGCAGTTCAACAAAGCTCAACTGTAACCCAAAGGTTGTGGGTTCCAATCTCGGTACCAGCAGGGACTGTAGGTGGGAGGGTAAATGTACTGCGCTCTCTTCCACCTTCAATACAACGACTGTGGTGAGACCCTTGAGCAAGGCACCGAACCCACAACTGCTCCCCATGGTGCCACAGCAAAAAATGGCTGCCCACTGCTCTGTCTGTGTGTGTGTGTGTGTGTGCGTGTGTGTGCGTGTGTGTGCGCGCTTCTCTACTCACTGCTGTGTGTGTGCACTTGGATGAGTGAAATGCAGAGCACAAATTCCGAGTATGGGACACCATACTTGGCCACATGTCACATTTCCTTTCCTTGCCTATCTTCAGCTGTCCATCACTTAGTGAGGGGGGAAACATGTAAAACAATCAAATATTACATATTCTGTGGCAAAAAATAAAAATAAAAATAAACAAATTAATAAATAAATAAAAACATCAAATGGAAGTAAAAATTATATCAAAGGACCACAAAGTGGGATCAGGGATTTTTAAATCTTTTAATACTCAGAACTAAATTAGCATGAGAAATATTTAATGTTAAAGGAAGTCACTTTTTTGTAAACTGTATGCTATAATGAACATTCAAACACATTTATAGTTTACATATGCATACTCAGATTGTTTGCTTCAGTCTGCACTTGTTTTCATGAGTGTACGTGCACAATAACTATGGCTGGAAATAATCCCGAATGAGATAACAATTACTTCATGTCTTTCATGGCGATAATCCCTCCTCAGCTTCCTTGGGTTTTACACTGCTTACACTGACAGTCTGGGATTATAACTGAAGCACTATCAATGATTAACATGCCTGAGAATCTTCTCCTTTTGATTAAATCTCTTTTTAATGATAAACATTCCTGCCCAATTGTATGTAAGTACTGTATATTATACTGTTACTAAGACTTTTAATTTTATTGTTTATTTGATTGATTATGCTGATTATTTATTAGTACTTCAGTTACAATGTGCAAATACAATTGTTTTATAAACTCAATTATAATTCTATTTTTGACTCTGATAAGATTTAGCTACATATGCTGAAATTTCTCACCCTGTAAGTCTCAACCATTGTCTCAATTTATCTGGATAAGATAAATTAAACATGACTTGTTTATTCACAAGCCCCACTAAATAGACCTCAGTTTTCAGCACGTGACTTGATCCTGACAAAAGTGTTGCTCCTCGTGTCCAAAGTGTCAGTGCCTAGTAATCTCCCCCAGTGCTGACCAAGGGAACCGACCCAATCCGCTCAGGCAGGTATAGCACCTGCATTAAGCATGGCTAGGTATCTGTTTGTATCCATCTGTCTATTTGGGAAAGCTGGAGAATGGGTGAAGGGGATTTTAGCTATAACCCTGCTAACCTGATTAGTTGGGCAATACACATCCTGGGTACAAATACCAGCTCCTCCCCACTGCTCTTTCTATCCTCAAGCTTCAGACCTCACATATTATTCGAAATCATCACTACCAGGTATGAAATTCATAATGGGTGTAGAATTTAAAGGACCCACTGGTGGGTGTTATTTGGGACATAGGGTATAATAATGAGTGATTTAGATTTTATGTCACCGTTATGTATATTGGAAAGTCTTGATTAAGACTGCAGGTTTACTAGATGATATATGAAGAACATTATTGTAAAGTATAGCTTGAAGGACTTTTTATGTAATAAAAGCCAGTGACTAACATGCAATGATTGTTGAAGTTAGGTTTATATTACAAAATGTTATTACATTATTTAAGCATTAATCTTTTGCTTTTTTATTATTGTGTTCAAGTTTCTAAACAACTATGAGCCCAAAACATATCGTCTTCAAGAAAATATCCAAGGACAAGTCGGTAAGTTAACATAACTACACAGGTGGATATATATAGTATATTAATATAGTAATTAAAAAAAAATATCTGCCTTTTCTTTTTTTCTTCAAATGGTCATTGAAACAAGGACCTTAAATATTCATAGTCAACATCAGGAAGATTAACTAATTACTAGCCGCTTTATTTTCTGTTCATTTTCTGTAAAGTTTTTGCAAACCTGTTACCAAATTTGAGTTATGCGTAAATAGAGTTTATACCCTGATTTGTATGATTTAATGATTTTGAAGCAATAACAATTAAATACAATTGAATAGACCAAATTTCAAAAGTATATTTCAAAAGAAAAAGAAAAAAAAAACAGTTAAAGATGCTCCATAGGCATTGCTAGCTTGGGACCTTTGTTGGTTTGTAGTTTAATAAACTACAAAAATAGATTAAAGGAAAAAAAAAAGTTTGTTTGTTTGTTTCATTTTTGTTATAGTAACATGAATAATAAGCTTTTACAAATTAGTTAATGTGATTATTTGAGAAAAATTTGAGAAAATGAAAATGATTTATTCAGTTGTTTTTCTTCGGCAGAAAAGGTCCAAATGTTAAATCTTGGTTGTCACAATTTAAAGTAGTGCTGTCCAAAGATTCATCGCGATTAATCGCATCCAAAATAAACGTTTTTGTGTGCATAATATATGTGTGTACTGTGTATATTTACTATATATATATAAATACACACACATGCTTGTGTATATTTAAGAAAAAAATGTTATGTTTTTATATTAAATATGTTTATATATAATATAAATTATATTAATATATATATATATGCATGTAAATACATGTAAATATTTTAAATATATATACTGTATGTGTGTGTATTTATATATACATAATAAATATACACAGTACGCAGTACATAATAAATATACACATTTTACAATGTCTTTATGATTTTTTTTTTCTTCTGAAGTGTTAAATTTTATCTGAATGCACTTACAATGAGAGGACAGAAATCTCTCAGGTTTCGTTAAAAATATCCTCATCAAAGACGTACTAATGTATTATTGGTTTAGAACAACATGGGGGTAAGTAAATGATGACACAATTTTCATTTTTGATTGAACTAATAATTTGAAGGGAGTTAACAAAGCAGATATCCAATGGACACAAGAAGCATTGATGTGTTCTTGTCTTAGCTATGATGCATGTTACTATAGAAGAATAAAACGTTATCAGCATGCGCTAGTGGTAAACAAAGCATTAAGCCCGAAACACACTGCATGATTTTCAGCTGTCCCAGATGAAAGATTGGCATCGTGAAACAATCACGGCGATTGTCATCGTGGCCCCTAATCGGGTTGTGTCATACAGTGAGAGAGGTTCAAAGACGACCATTGTCACGGTCTTGCGACCAAAGGCAGTTCATCATTGAATTCAGTGATGTCATCGTCCTGCTCAGTTCAGTTTAAATATTATCTGTGCAATCAAGCCGACGATATCACTGAAAAATGAAGTGTCCTCAACTAAGCAAGCCAGAGGCGACAGTGGCAAGGAACCAAAACTCCATCGGTGACAGAATGGCGAAAAAAAACCTTGGAAGAAACCAGGCTCAGTCGGGAGGCCAGTTCTCCTCTGGCCAGATGAACCAGCAGGTTGATCCATGCTGCAGCAAAGTTAAATTGTGCAGAGGGCTCATCTGGTTCAGTGGTCTTGTCCCGATGGCTGTCTAGGAGACAAGGTATTCACTGGGGATCCGTCTCTGGGGCTCATCTAGTTGTCCTGGTCTCCGCTGAAATTCAGGGCTGTAGAGGTTGTCTCTAGGTGCTGATCCACCATCTGGGCTGGATACGGACTGGATCTGGTGGCTACGGTGACCTCGGAATAAGAGAGAAACAGACTAATATTAGCGTAGATGCCATTCTTCTAACAATGTAGCAAGTACACCAGGTGTTATGGGAAGTGTTCATAACGCAGCCTAAAAATCCTTTAACGGATTTGAATATTAGAAGCGTATTAGTGTGTTATGTGTAAGCCAGATTGAAGAGATGGGTCTTTAATCTAGCTTAAACTGACAGAGTGTGTCTGCCTCCCGAACAATGTTAGGTAGGTTATTCCAGAGTTTGGGCGCTAAATAGGAAAAGGATCTGCCGCCCGCAGTTGATTTTGATATTCTAGGTATTATCAAATGACCAGAGTTTTGAGAACGCAGCGGACGTGGAGGACTATAATGCAATAAGAGCTCGTTCAAATACTGAGGTGCTAAACCATTCAGGGCTTTATAAGTAATTAGCAAGATTTTAAAATCTATAAGATGTTTAATAGG